CTGTAGCGTGTTATAGACTGTCATCTCTGGTTTTTGTGCGCGAGGGAGAGAGTGTGGGAGAGAGAGGGAGAGAGAGTGAGAGGGGGAGTGAGGGAGAGGGAGAGGGAGAGAGAGAGGGAGAGAGGGTGAGAGAGAGAGAACTCTAAGATCTAAACATTTAAGTTCCGTTCAGAGGAACTAACCAATAGTTAGCAGAAAGTATCTAAGTCAGGCATGCCAGAGCTGACTTACAGCCCTTGTGAAGACAGAAGGACCAGAAGTTGAAGGTCGACCTTAGCCAGGAGACCATTTCAAAGATCAAAACTAAACAACAAAAATTTTCTGTGTAACTGAAACTAATCCCATCTGGCACTGAACATCAACTGTGAATCCAGCCCCTGAACAAAGTGAACCCTGATGATTATGAGAACTTATTTGGGGGTGGGGAGAGGGCAGATCAAGACAGGGTTTCTCTGTGTAGCCCTGACTGTCCTAGAACTCGCTCTGTAGACCAGGCTGGCCTTGAACTCAAGGATCTGCCTGCCTGTGCCTCCCAAGTGCTGGGATTAAAGGTGTGGCTACTACTGTTGCTACCGCCACCTGATGAGAACATTTCAATAATGTCGCCCAGAAGTGTCTTTAAAAATATGGAGTTAATTATACAGATAGAATCCCTAGGAAAGATAACATTTACAGCCACAGATACAACAACAAAAACATAAAAAAGCAGTTTTCAAACTCTCCCAGTTTCTATCTCTAGAGTCTAAACAGTTATTTTCTAAGTCTACAGAATCCCCACATTTCAACAAGCATGGACTGGCTGAAGACAGGAGGAGGCAGGAAGGTGGTGAGGAAGCTCTGGGCGGCAGGGGACTGTGATCTCATTATCATATCACACTTGTGGGGCTCCCCTGCCATGGCCTTGCTGGCCAGGCCTCAGCAGCTCGCCCTGGCTGTCTCTAGTGCAGCAGGTGTCCTCCCAGGGGAGGAGACAGGATTTAATAAAAGTCATGGGACTTGTTTATGAGAACACTCTCAAAACCCTACAAAGAGGAACACTTAGCACAGCACTGTCATTACAGGCCTGAGAAAAAACCAAGAAAGCCTAGGCTGGTGACATAGCTCAGAGGTAGAGCACTGTCAAGACTCTGGGTTCAATCCCCAATACCAGAAAAATAAATAAATAAATAACAAAATTTCTTAAAAAGAAAGAAAACCTTGGGTCCCTGTGAATCTGCAGTATTAAAATGAGACAAGTATATACTATAGCCCAACATTTTTTTTGTTGTTGTTGTTTTTGTTTTTTGAGACAGGGTTTCTCTGCCTCTCAAGTGCTGGATTCAAGTGGTATGCAGCCATGCCTGGCTCCATTGTTTTGAAACATACCCCTGCCATTCTGCATTGTATCTTACGTGGGGGGGGGGGGGGCTGTCTAAGTACTCACAAGTATAAAGTCAAAGTATCACTCCACTCTGAAAACAAAACAAAAACCGCTGAAGAAGCCCTAGGTCCAGATTATCAAATATTCAGCCAGGATTCAGCTCTCTACATAAAGTCATAAAGCATGGCACCTCCCTGGCATGCAGATCTGCCTTTGTCTTTAATAGGTGGTAAAATTCTGAGCACATCAAGGAATTGTTTTCTAACAAGGTTCCTTACGCTTTCTGAGTTTGGTTCATACCTGACTACATACTAAACATCTCAGGCAAACAAAAGTCTGAGCTGCAAAGAAGTGTTCCCGCAGTGTGGCCAGGAGCACCCTTCCCTCAGCATTCCCGGGTGGGAGCACCTTTCCCTCAGCATTGGCAGGATGGTAGCCAAGGCTCGCCTCACCTCAAAGGCTGCGGAGATGATCTTCGCCTTCTTGCTGAGCACGGAGCCCACGGCGTTGAAGTTCTTGTCTCGGATCTCAGCATACAGTTCCTCTGCAGAGTTGAGCTGAAGCTTCTTTGCCTCCGTGGGAAGGTCCTTCCCACCGCCGCCGCCCTGCTTCTTGGGTGCAAATTTCTCTGGAGGTAACTTCACATAACCTGAAGTTGGAGGGAACGTGTACTTGAGCAGTTACAGGAAGACCCACGGCTCACATGCCTGGGCACAAAATGTCTCCTGCAGCATACTGCAGAACAGCAGTTTCTTTGCTGTCAGCCACAAGCCTAGCAGTGACTGACTTCTGACTGTTAGAAGACAAGGGCACTCAGCTCTGGGTTTCACTCTTCATGGCCTGCACTCATTTGACAGCCCTAATTGTCTTTGTGGACAGACAGAGAAACCACCGCAGCAGTGAGTTTCTAAAAAGGAATCTCACCGGCATGGAGATGCCCCAGGTGAACCTAGCACTCAGAAGAGCTGCTGTGAGTTTGAGGCCAGCCTGCACCATACAGCAGCAAACAAGATAGAAAATTCTGGAGTGTTCATAGTAAGTAATAAAAGTGGTAGGGTTTTTAAAAGAAAGTAATTATTTTTATGTATAGGGATGTTTTGGCTGTATGTATGTTTGCATGCCATGTGCACGTGGTACCCAAGGAGATCAGAAGAGGATGCGAGATACCCTGAGTCTACAGTTATAGACAGTTAGGAGTCACCATGAGGATACTGGGAACCAAACCTGGATCCTGTAAGAACAGCCAGTGCTCTTAATCACTGAGCCATCTCTCCCAAGGCTTTTTAAAATGAAAGTTTTGTTTTAGTCTTACACACGCGTCCGCGCGCGCGCACACACACACACACACACACACAAAAGGAATGGTCAGAAACTTTGCCCCTGGGGTCAGATTTGCCCATTATTTACTTAGTCTGCATGGCAGAGTCTAGAGACTCCAGCTACAGTGTAACCTGCAGAAACCAAACGTTTACTTCCCAGTCCCCACCCTAAGTTCTGCCAGCTCTCCAGTTCCCTCTACAAAGGAGCAGCTGGCCTCATCTCCCACCTCTGTTCCTCCAGACCAACTCATCACTGCCACACCCAGATGTCCTCAGGAGGAGCTGGAGAGCTTCTGAAAGGAATGGGGACATGTACCAAGCTTCTTACAATGTAAATATGTAAACTCTGTATGGATTTGTTGTTGTTGTTTAACAATTATTGTGTGCACAACTTGTGGTCAGTTCTCTCCTTCCACCATGTGGGTCCCAGGGATCAAATGCAGCTTGTCAAGCTCGGTGTCAGTGGCTTTAGGAGCTGAGTCATCTTGCTGGCTGCATGATATTAACACCTTCTGACCCTTAAAAATCCTGCATCATAGCCGGGCGGTGGTGGTGCACGCCTTTAATCCCAGCACTTGGGAGGCAGGGGCAGGTGGATTTCTGAGTTCGAGACCAGCCTGGTCTACAGAGTGAGTTCCAGGACAGCCAGGGCTACACAGAGAAACCCTGTCTCAGAAAAAAAAAAAATCCTGCATCATAGAATCTGGGAAAGAAAGGTAACCTGATCTACAATAAAAAGTTATATGTATAGGTGCTTTTAAGGCCATGAAAGTAAAACGGCACAAATTCACCTAACCTAAATAACTCCTTAAACCTGTATGCACTATGGAAATTAGTATTCCATCCCTTGCGTGCTGAATATCCATTATTATACCAAATCCCACATGACGTCAAAGGCCAGCAAGATGGCTCAGTGGATGACCCAGGTTCAACCCGATACCTCATTGGTAGACAGAGAGAACCAATGCCGAGCTGTCCTCTGTCCTTACCTGTGGCAGTAAGACCATCTGTACAACTGGATTTCCAGTTTACCCTGAGAAATAAATTCTGCAAAGACAGAGACTTCCAAGAATGAATGCTATTGCTGGGGTTTGCACTACAGCAGGGGTGAGCCAGGTCACAGGGATGGGGAAAGGAAGGGGGAGCAAGTTATCTTTGCTCTGTTTTCCCCGTTTCTCCTTAATCAGCATTGGAGTCATGAAAACACACCATGAGGAGGCCGTGAGTCCACATGTGTGACTGCTGACTGCTATCCAGGCGGAACTCTTCTTCCAATTAAAAATGAGGTTAGGATACCATTTTAAGGAACAAATTAAATGAACAAACAAACAAACAGAAAAACCAAGACATACAATCATATCATTAAGTCTCTTGTAGAAACACTTCTTCCCTATCCTCAGCGGCCACTGTCCTGTTCCCCTGCCTCACACTCAGTGTCTTGATAAAAAGTACAGAATGCAAATTTACCACTGTGGCCACTTTATAGTTAACAATTCACAGGCGTTGGGTGCGTAGTTTTAAGGCTGCAGCAGTGAGCTGTAGACATTCTCACCCTAAGAGGAGCCAGCAGCAGCCCACCCCCCGCCTCCCAGGCTCTGTGGCCTCCATGTCTTTAAACAGCTGCAGCTCCAGAATGTCAAGAGGCCAGGCCAAGACATTTTGATATGTGGGATAAATCAAGACTATTACTAATTCCTCACATTTTAAATGCTAACAGAATCAAATATTATGATGGCCAAAACCTTACAAATAAAACATGCTGTGACCTCTGGCCTAACCATTCAATAAGCCCTGGTCTTCCAAGACCTCCACCTAGTGACCTGTATGTCCTGCGCAGTCACTGAGAATCTCGCCATCTGCACACTTCAACTCAAGACAAGCTAGCTGTCCCCAACTCCTGCGTTTGCCACAGTTTCTCCACTCCTGAACATCCATCTAAACGGTACACTTCCTTCCAGACCCACAACCTCTCCTATTCTCCACCAGCCACAGGGGGCTGTGGTGCCATGTGTGGCTAGCCTTGGCTCATGTGCAGCAGGCACAGCGGGCATGGAACAACTGGCCAGCCTGAGTCAGCAGTGTGGTCATCAGATGACTAGCCTTAGACCCACAAGACAAGTCAGCATTTTTTTTTTCAGCTGTGCTGACTTATATGCAAAGGAAACTTTCTAAATAACCATTGGGCGGGGTATGATGGTGACCATCTACAGCTGAAACTTCCAGCACTTGGAAGCTAAACCAAGAAGACCAGAGTTCATGGCCAGTCTGGGCTAGAAAGCAAGACTTTGTATCAAAATATAAAAAATCAGGGGCCAGTGAGAGGCCAATTGGTAAAAGTGCTTGTCGCCAAGCCCGATGACCCGAGTCCAGTCCCTAGAACCCACATGGTGGAAGGAGAGAACCAACTCCCGAAAGTTGTCCTCTGACCTTCATATATTCATGGTAGGTGCCCATGTACGTGCATGTGTGTGCATACACACACAATAAATAAATAATGTAGAGAAAACTTTAAATAAGGTTAGTATGACCAAAATATATCATATACATGTATGAAATGACACGTCAAAGAACAAATTAAGAATATTTTTTAAAGATAGTAAATAAGGTAGGTGTGGTGGCACACACCTTTAATCTCAGTTCTTGGGAGACAGAGGCCAGCCTGGTCCACACAGTGAGACTTGGTCTCAAAACAAATAAACAAATACAAGAGAAGCATCGCCTCCGGAGGCCTCACCCTTTCAGCCACGTCCCTCTCCTGCGTGTTAGCTCGTCATGCAACACTGCCCGTCAGCGACACACACAGAGACGGCCATAGCTTATAATGGGAACACACTGGCCGTATAGTCTCTCAGACTTCACAGCTGCCACTTTCATGGCTCCACAATATTGTATAATGCTCTCAACCATTCCAACTATTTAAAGCACAACACTTCCTCGGCTTTTCTGGAATGGTGATTCCTCAAGGGACATTCTTGGAATTGTTGCTGGAATTAATAACTTTATATGCTGGAAACTTACTTCCAAAAAAAATTTTTTTTTATCACTCTCTTCTGTCAAACCATCAATAGATATTGGATCTTTAGCTGATCAGTGGAGGTGCACACCTTAATCCCCAGCACTGAGGCAAAGGCAGGGAGAACTCTTAAGTTTGAGGCCAGCCTGGTCTACAGAGTGAGTTCCAGAACAGCCAGGACTATGCAGAGAAGGAAGAAAAAAAGAAAATAAGTTGGATCTTTAGTGAGGTGTGATAGCTCAAACCTTAATGTAACCACAACATGAGGGAGGCAAAGGCCAGCCTGAGCTATATGGTAAATTCCGTGTTAGCTTGGGCTATGAACACTGTTTCAAAACCCAAGGGGCAAGGGTTTGAGGGGAGGAAAAAAGAAAAGTAGAACCCCTGGGCCTTTACATTCATACAATACTCAAGAAGGGACCCTGAAGCCTCAGCCTCCACACAGTGGACACTTTTACCCTAACAGCGACCAGTGACAGCGCAGATGTCAGCTCACTCACTGTTCTGAATGCCATAAATCTCATCGATGAGGCCCTCGTACGTGAGCTGGGAGGCGAGCGGCGTCAGCAGATCCACATTGCGATCAAGCAGCAGGAGGTTATCAAACACGGGGAACACTGAGTTTTGGCTTCCCGGGAACTCCCTCTTCATCCTGACCATCATGTTGGCCACTTGCTGGAAACAGAACACGGCATCAGGTGAAGACTCCTGGAAACTGGCAGAGTTTAAGCCTCTGCTACAAAGAAAACAGTAATCCAAAGGTAAAAATGGAAAAGCAGCCAGGGCCAGACTGATAATGAAACAAATGGCTAACAAAAAGTACCCACAGTTAACCACCCTCCATTTCAGCCAACAGTGGCCACCCCGCCCGCCCCAGACAGAGCCGGTGCCTGCTACATGACTACATGAGGCGGCTGTGTTCTACAATCCCTAGAGATGGTGCAGTAGCCAGCGCTGAGCCAGTCTTCCCAAGAGAAATACAGGTACCTATGAACTTAAGATTTTGTTATTTTGGGGCAGGAGAGATGGCTTAGTGGTTAAGAGCATGTACTGTTCTTGCAGACAGCCTAGGTTCAATTCCCAGCTCCCACCTCCAATAGCTTACAACCAAGTGTAAGTCCAGGATAAGGAACCCACCTGCACACTCTCTGCCCTCCGTGGGTACCTGCACATAAACTCACAAGATGCATAGAAAGAAAAGAAATTAAAAATTTAGCCCTTTTTATTTACATGTATGCATCTGTCTGGGAATGGCTTTGTGCTACGAGTGAAATGCCCAGCTTGGATTTAAGAGGGCATCATGTTCCCCGAGTCTGGAATTACAGGAGGTTGTTGCCAGATGTCGTTGCTGGGAACTGAACTCAGGACCTCTGGAAGAGCAGGAAGTGCTCTTAACCACTGAGCCATCACTCCAGCCCCTAGTCACAGATTCTGTCCACAAATCAATATTAAACCTTGTGTCCTGTTTTGTGTTTAGTCAGCTGATCCGTTACTGAAGGCTAGGCTGAGGTGATGCACACCTTTGATCCCAGCATTCAAGAGGCAGCGGCAGGGGAATCTCTAAGTTTGAGACCAGTCTGGTCTACAGAGGGAGTTCCAAGATAGCCAGGGCTACACAGGGAAACTGCCTCAAAAAAACCACTCATTCAAACAGGACTCGCAGCCAAGAGCTCTGGGACTCTGGCCCTGATAAAACTTACCTAAGTCACACTACACATCAGAATACATTTTAAACAGCAGAGTCACCAGACGAGTGCACAAGTGTGAACAGCCTGCCTCTGAGCAGACTGTGAACAAGACACTTGTGACCTTGGTCACCACAGTGGGCATGTTACCAAGCCCTGAGTACTGGCTGTGTGATGAGTGACCTGTGAACTGCAGGGACGAGATGAAGTCCTCAACACAGAAGCCTGGGTAAGGAGCTCTCAACATGGATACACAAGAAGTCAAGGGGTGTTGAGGGCCATCAGGGGATCGGCTGTGTCTCTCAAGTTTCCCCCTTTAGCCCCTATTTTGGATCAAACCAGAAAACAGTGGGTTCTTACCCGAGCACACTCCCCTTTTCCAAAGATCTGGGGGATAGTTCCATACAGCGCCTGCAGGGTCATCAGCCCCTTGGCTGCGTGGTACAGGCTTGTCTGGTCGCCTTCCAGGTAGCACTCCTGTGGAGACAAAGACAGCTTCTACAGACCACCGTCATGATCATTAACTGTTTTACAATCACCACCATTTACAAGTCAAAATGGTGGCTTGTACAAGCATCCTGGGCCCAGCCTGCACTACATGACACCCCCTATGAGACAGGCAATAGATAAAGATGAAAAACATGAAAGGGAAAAAGTCAAAATGGTTCTCTTTTGTAGACCAGTTCTGGTGGCACGTATCTTTAATCCCAGAACTCTGGAAGAGAGGCAAGTAGATCTCTGTGTGTTCAAGGCCAGCCTGGTCTATACAGCATTTCAAGCCAGCCAAGGATACATAGTGAAATCTTGTCTCAAAAAAAAGGTACCTTTTGTCCCAACATCCCCACTGCTATTACCTTGGGGTCTCTTCAGTTTCAAAAGCCAGGAGCAGTATGACAGTGAGAGCCCAGGGGCTGAGGAAGGGGGGCAGGTTATGATCACCACAGTGGGGCTGTCTCAGCAAACACAAGAATTTATGCTTCACACTGGAAGCCTCGTCCCAGACTAGTCTCGGACAGATGTTTATGACTCTTTCTTTCCCAGCACAACAGCCCGGGACAAGGATGCCATGAGCCGTGTGCTCTGGAACACTTCCAGAGGAGAGAATGACAAGTCACGGTTCCCTCCATCTTAAGAAGCTGTAGTACTAAAGTGACTGTCCTATAATGCTAGTTTTTAAAAAGATTTCCCAGCTAATGAGAGTGGTTTATTTTGTTTTGTTTTTCAAGACAAAGTTTTTCTGGGTAGTTCTGGCTATCCTGGAACTCATTCTGTGGACCAGGGTGGCCTTGAACTCAGATCCAGCTGCCTCTGCTTCTGAAGTCCTGGGATTCAAGGAGTTTGCTGTCAAACTTGGCATGACAGATTTTTTTTTTCCCCTTCTTGTTTTGGTAGTTCTGGGAATCAAACCCAGGGCCTCGAGCATACTGTTCCACTTCTGAGTTAGTTACATCCTCAGCAACAACAGATTTAACCTTGAATGGTGGTCATACTGGCCACTCTCTAGAAACAGAACACTGGGTCAGCTGGGGCCTTGTTGATCACAACAGCCAGTAAGGGAACCCTACGCACTGACGGCCCACTCCTTCCACAGGGAATCCCACATGACATTTAAAGCTACAGGACGTTTTAGGACGAATGCTACTACACATTAATATTTAAAAGCTCATATTTTTGGGCCCTAACTTGCTCACCCACACAACAGAAGCCCTTATAGTTTCTACTAGGTTGGCTGCCTTTAGATGCTCTGGTTTTAGTTACTAAAATGAACACAATCACACTATGTGCTGGCACTGGACATTCAGTGGAGTAAGCCCGGTCTCACACTCAGCTCAGAACTGGGGTTGGCGGTAACAACAGGCACACCTCTCAATTCTAAAGCCCAGGGGACACAGAGAGGGAATGTTGTATGTGCTGTGAGTGGGGGCTACAGAAAGCCTGTCTGAAAAAGAAATTAAAACCGTTCTTAAAACCCAGTAAAACTAAAGAATCAGAGAGAGAGAAAGAGAGAGAGAGAGAGAAACAGAGACAGAGAGACAGACACAGAAACAGACACAGACAGACACAGACACCGACACCTGTATGACTTCTGCAAAGAGATCTGAGACCTGGGAAAAGTGGCCTCCTCATCCCTCTGTGCCAAAAATCACCATGTAAATGACTTACATTTACAGAATTATTGAGGAGGCGGTTAGGACAAAGTTGAGACAGGGTCTCACTATACTCCTGGCTATCCTGGAATTCACTATACAGATCAGGCAAAGAGGTCCACCTGGATCTGTCTCCCGAGTGTTAAGATCAAAAGCGTGTACCACTGTGCTCAGCCATTACAAAACTTTCAAATTACTGTTTTATTTATATTTTGTTTGATATTGGTTTGTTTGCTTGTTTTTTGTTTTGTTTTGTTTTTTTGAGGTTTCCCTATGGTGGTCAGGCTAGCCTCACCCTTCCAGTTCTTCTATCTCAGCTTCCTAAGTGGCGGAACTGTAGGTGTTTAATTGAAGACTTTGAAGGTGTGAATCTGGTGTTGAAGAGAGTTCTAGTGGGTAAGAGGACTGACGCTTTTCTAGAGGGCCTGGGTTCAATACAGCAGCTCAAAATCATGTGTAACACTGACCTCCTCTTTTGGTCTCTCTGGACACCAGAAACACTTGTGCACACATACACATGAAGAAATACTTGTGGTGCACACACACACATGCAGAAACACTTCTGGTGCACACACACATACATTTAGACAAAATACCATAACACATAAAATAGCAACCCCAGAAAGAATCAAAAACAAAGGAAAAATCCTTAAAAATAAAAAATAAACAAGTAAATTTTACAGTATGTACATGACATTAAAGCTAACATATTATATAAAGAATTCCTAGAAAACAAAATATGGGAGCTAGCCAGGTGTGGTAATAGACATCTGCACTTCCAGATGGGAATTAGAAGCAGGAGGATCAGGAGTTCAAGGCCAGCCTGGGCTACGTGAGACCTTGTCCGAAAATAACAAAATAGATTTGATTCAAATACACTATACCTGTGAATAAATATTATATAAGATATTAAAAACAAACAACCAAAAAAAAAAAAAAGGGAGCCAGCATTGCCATAATCTGAGCACTTAGGAAGCTGAGGTGGAGGACGGCAGAGGAGACGACCACAGACAACATGACCACAGAACAAGGCCACGCCTTTAAAAAGTGGGGTTGGGGTGGGGAGGAGCTGTCTGGAGAGAAGGCTCAGCGGTTGAGAGCTCTTGATGTGTAAGTGAAGTACTAGAGTTCAAATTGACTCACACATGCACGCACACACACACACGAGTCAGGTGTGGTTGGACAGGCAGTTGTGTAACCCCAGAGCTGGGGAAGCAGATGAGAGGATGTCTGAAGCTGTTAGCCACCCTGTCTCAAGGGAATAAGGTAGAGAGTGACAGTTTGTGATGTCCTCTTTTGCACACGCCATATACACAAAAAAGGAAGGGACGAGAAAGAGGAGAACTGGGCAGAAAGACACAAGCAAGCAATTTGGCAAGGAGAGCCATCCGACAGGCTTGCACACGGGCCTCCCCTCCATAGACCACAGATGCGAATGGAAGCAGCAGCGTGACACTTCCAGCAATGAACCCCCAGATCAAAGTCTGCTGCCGTCCTGGTGGCACTCAGCTTTAACCCCAGCACTCCGGAAGCAGAGGCTCTCTGAGTTCCAGATTAGGCCAGTCCACACAGTGAGACCTTGTCTTAAAAAAAAAAACACGTAAGAGTTTGATGTAGGAAAACTTACTTTGAAAGCGCCCTCTGACTCCATGGATAAGAGGTCCCCATCAAATGGAATGAGATCTAAACTGTACTCCTCTCGATGGATAAAGGATCCCAAAACACCCAGGTCCTTCAGCCGCTGCTCACACAGTAGGCTCCGTCGAGGAACAAACAAAATATGGAAATCCCTGGTAGGACCACGCCTGTCCTCGCTGCAAAGGAAGTAATCATGATTAGCTTATGTGCTCCCTGGGGTCAGAGGCTGCTTTTCTCATTGCACCCCTATGACCTGGCAGACACCAAACACTGCTTATGTAAACACATGAAGACAGACTCTCAAGGGGCTGCAGGGATGGCTCAGAGGTTAAGAGCACTGACTGCTCTTCCAGAGGTTACCAGTTTGGTTCCCAGCTCTCACGTGGCAACTCACAACTGTCTACAATTCCAGTTCCAGGGTATTCAGCACCCACTTCTGGGCTCCAAAGGCACCACAGTACGTATACATGTATTCAGGCAAATGCTTGTACACATAAAACAAAAATAAATAAATCTTTAAAAAAAAAAAGCGCCACTCTCATACCCAAGTTGTTAACAAAACTTTGATTCTGGAAACCACATCACATGACTGACAGACACACACACAGACAGACAGACAGACAGACACACACACACACACACACACACACACAAAACCAGATCTTACACAGCACCATCTGTGGTTTTGGAAAACAAATGCCCCTTTAACCAAACCAGTTTACCACCACAGTCTTGTACTAAAAAGAGAACCTAGTGTCCTTGTTTGTGGACTTCCAAGGACAGCCATATGCAGTAAGGTTTTCAGGGGCCCCATTAATCACTGTACCAGAGTGTTCCTTTATAGAGTGGATTCTACATTAACTTACTTTGATTCCACAGTTCTGACTTGTTTGCTTATGGAACTCAAGCACACTACAGCTGGCATTTTGAAATCAATAGCCATCAGAGGTTTTCATGTGGTGTTTTTAAGGCAGGGTTCTCTCTGCTGACACAGGTTGGAAGTGTTAGCCATCCTCGGAGGGTGAAGTTATTTCCCTCAAGCTATTCAGAGCACTCTCACGAGTCTTCCACCCCGCTGCTAACATTCTGCCATGTCTGGTCCCACTTTTCCAAACGATGGCCGTCCAACACTCTGACAAGAGGGTGATCCGAGACGAAGGTGCTCGGAACATTAAAGTCTTTATGAAGACAGCTGGGGAGGAAGGGTTCAGCAGGGAAAAGCACCTACACCAAACCTGCGTGCAATCCCTGGGACCTTCACAGGAGGACAGTACCCACTCCTACTAGTCGTCTTCTGACCTCCACACAGGCACACACCATTCCTCCAAAATAAATAAACAAACAAAAAAATATAAAGAAACAAACAAACCCTTAAAGCCCAACGTCTTTAGAACCACAAAACTCTGAAGTACCTGAGTACATTCTCAGCAATTATATCCATCAATTCTAGCCTGGGTCTGACCAAAAAAATGATATTCTTGACATCAGCTGCTGGCAAACGATTTCCTTTAAGTGTGAACATTTTTTCCACTTCATGTTCCTAGGGAAACGCACACAAAAGACTAGTAAAACCCCTGCACTCTGTCTTCTTCAGATTTGTAAGTAATTCATAGTCCCAACCAAACACATGAAGGACCAGGCTGCAAGATAAAGCCATTGTTTCTGTATCATCAGGCAAACCATTCTGACACAGCATACCCGACAGGCACTACGTCACAGTCACACAAGACAGTGCTTGTATGCAAGATAGTTTTGTTTCTGTTTTTTTCTGCATCATGCTGGACATCAATTTCAGCACCTCGTACATACTAGGCAAGCACACTCCCACTGGGCAGCACCCTCTATGCAGAATGTTAATCATGTATTAATACCAGTGTTTGTACAGCTCAGATAGCTTTGCAAGTGATTATTCAGGAAGGTATGTTAGAATCCCATTACCAGGACTAGGTTCGACTAATTATTAATTCCTGAACAAATCCCACACAGCATATTACCTTTAGTAGTGAGTACTGTGCAATCAGTCCAAATGGTCCCGTTAAGTATTCATCCCACACTATTGCCTATAAGAGGGGAGAAACACACAGAGATTCCAACAATAGCAACAGAAAATGCCAGTCATACATAGTAAGAATATATTTCTTTCTTTCTTTCTTTCTTTCTTTCTTTCTTTCTTTCTTTCTTTCTTTCTTTTTTTTTTTTTGAGACAAGGTTTCTCTGTATAGCCCTGGCTGTCCTGGAACTCACTCTGTAGACCAGGCTGGCCTCAAACTCAGAAATCTGCCTGCCTCTGCCTCCCAAGTGCTGGGATTAAAGGCGTGCACCACCACCGCCCAAGAATATATTTCTTTTAAGGTTTATTTTTCCCTGCCCTACCCTCATTTTATTTTAATTATGTATAGTTGTATGTGTCCGGGCTGGAGAGATGGCTCAGAGGTTAAGAGCACTGACTGCTCTTCCAGAGGTCCTGAGTTCAATTCCCAGCAACCACATGGTGGCTCACAACCATCCGTAATGAGATTGGATGCCCTCTTCTGGTGTGTCTGAAGACAGCTACAGTGTACTCATAAATAAAATAAATAAATAAATCTTTAGTTGTATGTGTCTGTGCGTAGGTATGTGCATGTGGGTGCAGTTCCCCTCAGAGGTCAGACCAGTCAGATCTCCATGGATCTCCATGGGCAGTTATCAGTTGCCCACTGTAGGCGCTAGAAACCACACTGGGCTCCTCTGGAAGAGCACCACTCTCTCTTCACCGCTAAGCCATCTTTCCAGCTCCAAGAAATATTCTCCTAAATTTGGAGTCAAGATTTTTACAGGCTCTGGTCACACATTCACATCCTACGGGTCAAAAAGAATGTTTCATGAAGGAGAAGATTTGATGACACTGGCATCAGAGATCCCTGCTTCCTCCAGGAGAAACACTTTGTAAACCTATAATACACAATACACCTACAATACCTACAATACCACAATACCTACAATACCACAGTCATAATACTGATCCACACAATCTATTATATCTATCTGATTTCAACATCATTTTCGGTTTAATATGGGTCCCCGTGATTTAATCTGCCTTTCTGACGCAATGCAGCAAGCAACCACCTTAGTTAGAGCTATATTTCCAAAACTGCTCCTGATTTGTTTTTCTCTTCAGATTAGAACTTCCAATTCCTGGTAGGGGAATGGGGCACAACTAATAAATCTCCAAATAGAAGAAGAAATGCTTAAAAGAAAACCTCACAGCAAACGATGGCTCATGTCTGTAATGCCAGCACTTGGTAGGCTGAGGCAGGAGAAAGGAGGAGAGCTGGAAGTCAACCTGGGTTAACAGTCTATACAGTCAAAAATAAAATGGGAGAGCCGCACACAATCCTTTAATTCCGGCACTCAGAGGAAGTGACAGGTAGATCTCGGTGAGTTCGAGGCCAGCCAGGACTACACAGCGATACTGTCTCAAACTAACACTGAGAGGAAAAAATAAAGGAAGGAAATTCTATGAAGTCCCCGATCTAGTCCCCCTCCCTTGTAAGCTGGGTGCTTTAATAGACAAAATGATCCATGTTGAAGACCAAGTGAAAGTTTGAAGTGACAGCTTGTCTCCCGCAAGCTGAATGCAGAGGGCTGCGGGCGTGAGTGCTTCCAGACTGAAAAGGACTACAGGGGACAGCTCGGGGCCGGGGGGCCGGGAGCGGACTCTGCTGTCAAAGACCGGCGGCCTGGTCGTCCCCCAGGGCCTCGCAGAGTTCCGCCGGGCCGGACGTGGCGGTGCCGAGCCCCGTCCCTCACCTTGCTCCCAGCGCACTTGTCCAGAAACTCGCGCAGCTCCCGACGCACCGCCTCGCGCAGCACGTTCAGGTTCACTCGCCCATACGACAGGTGCGCCGCCATCTTGCCCCAACCCGCATTTCCTAGACGCGGTCTGGGTCACGTGACGGGCAGTTCACGTGATTCGAGTCGCTGACGCGTGTTCAACGAGAAAGGTGGATTCCGGCGACGCGCCTTCAAAGTCCTAGTGCGCATGCGAGGAGGCTTCCCCCCGCCCCGCCCCTTTCTGAACTATTTTCCCACCGTGCCTAGGAATGGTGGGTTCTGAAAACTGCGTCCTAAGCATGGAAATGAGTTGTTACTTGTCGCGTTTAAAAGCACCACCCTTCTGTCTTCGCAACTAGAATAGTGGTGCAAAGTGGCGATTGAGGCCAAATTACAAAATGCACCTTACTACATCCAGTAAGTGATTAAACAGCTTATCTCTGTAAGAGAGAGAGAGAGAGAGAGAGAGAGAGAGAGGGTGAGAGAGGGGGGGGGAGGGAGGGAGGGGGGGAGGGAGAGAGGGAGAGAGGGAGAGAGGGAGAGAGGGAGAGAGGGAGAGAGGGAGAGAGGGAGGAGAGAGAAAAGCAGGCTTATCTCTGTAAGTTCGAGGCCAGCCTGGTTAACATAGCGAGTTCCAGGACAACCAGGGCTACACAGTGAGGCCTGTCTCCACATAAACAGCAAATGGACTGGAGAGATGGTCCAGCAGTTAAGAGGACTTGATAATTTCCAGAGGATCAGGTTCCCAGCATCCACGTGGTAGCTCATGATCATCTGTAACTCCGGTTCCAGGGGATCTAGTACCCCTTTCCAGCCTACGAGGGCACAGCACAGTGCTGATATATACATTCAGGGAAACACATTTTTAAAAATAAAAGAAAGAGATGGCTTAGTGGAAACACCAAACTGCCTGTAACTCTAGTTCCAAATCCTCTAATGCCCACTTCTGACCTCAATGGACTCCTGTTCATACACACACACACTCACACACACGCACACACACACACACGCACTTTATTTTTAAATTTACTTATTTTGTGTAACAGCATTTTGTCAAACCCAGGGGGTCTCTGCAAAGGCAGCTCTCCAGTCCCCACCATCACCTCAAGTTAATAATACTAAAGTTGAGAATAATATTCTATTGCAGGGTATTATTTACAATGTTTTTTTTTTTCGAAACAATTGTGTGGGGAGGCAATCATTTAGTAGATATTCAAAGGTGAGCACTCAGGTAGCTAACCTAACAGTTTTGAGAGTTTCTAAAGAGTTGCTGATTACTAATCAGAGACAGAGTAGCACAGGCCTATAATCCCAGCACTTGGGAAGTAGAAGACGAGGACAGTTCTGGGCCTGTCTGGTCTACATAGTAAGCCCTTATCTCAAAGTCAAGGTCTGGGGATATAACTCAACGGCACAGTGCTTGCTAGGGCCTTTGGTTTGACCCCAGTCACTGAAAAAAAAAAAAAAGTAAACGGAATCATATATTGCTGTAACCAGAATACTGAAGCTTATGTTTCCTGTTCTCATAAGAGCCAATAAAAAGGGACAAGAATAAATTATTTAAAACTTACTTTTAGGGCCTAGAGAGATGGCTCAGTGGTTAAGAGCACTGACTGCTCTTCCAGAGGTCCTGAGTTCAATTCTTAGCAACCACATGGTGGCTCATGACCATCTATAATGGGATTGAATGCCCTGTTCTGGTGTGTCTAAAGACAGCTACAGTGTACTCACATACATAAAATAAATAATAAATCTTTTTTTAAAAACTTACTTATTTTTAATTATGTGTAGGTGTCTGTGTTTGTCTGCATGTAACTCACATGTGCTCATGAGCACAAACTCTGGAAGATCAGTAAATGCTCTTAACCACTAAGGTTTCTCTCAGCCTCACCAGAAATGGAATCTTTTAAGTTGTGCTGTGTTAAGAGAGCTAACGACCTGAAAGGGCGATTTGGGGGTAGGGGCTGAGGGTGTGGTGCACAGGGCTGCCAACTGAGAGCTCACTGTCATCCCTCTGCTTAGGTGGTCAATCACATTAACCTCTTATCACCTGGATGTCTGAGCCAAGCCTGCCAGTATTGACAGTGTTCCTCCAAGGCCATCTGGAACGTTAACTCAAAGCAAGCAAACTATTGATAGTACCTGTGTGCCAAGCTAGCAATGACTTGCATGTGCAGATTCCTTTCTACACTGTGGAGTGCAGAATGTCTGCTCCCCATTCCTGACCCTGTTGGTCCCAATTACACCTTTTTCTTTTTAAATATGCCGTGATAAAGCTGTGGATAATCCAATATGTGCTTTGAGATAAGAAGATACCAGTTATTTCCCTTCCTCTTCTCTTCCAGCTTCTAGCAGGGTCTCTGTGTAGTCCATGCTGGTAGTAAACTCACTATATAGCCAAGGATGACCCTGAATTCTTGATCCCTCTCCAAAGTACTGGAGTGACAGATGTCTGCCACACATGGCTTCATTTGGTTTTTCTTTAAAAAAAAAAAAAAGTTTGAGGCCAACCTGGTCTACAGAGCTAGTTCTAGTATAGACAAGGCTATACAAAGAAACCCTGCAAACAACAAAACAAAAAAATATAACTTGAAAGGTGAAAGGCATCTTTCATGATCTGGTGGGAACAGAATTGGTTGTTGATGGTTCATGACGTCACTCAGAAGCCTAGGATCCTTCCAAGAGGGTAACAAGAGGCTGTGCAGTCTTCTAGGACAATTTTCCTCTATTGGGTTGGAACCATTTTCAAAGTTTTACACCCTGCCCCACCTTGTGGCAGGGTCTCATTGTATGAGCCAAATTGGCCTTGAACTCCCGACAAATCATCTGCCTCCATCTTCCAACTGTCAGGATAACAGCTGTCTCTCCCTCCAGCCCCAATTCCCATCTTTTCCAGCAACAATGAACAGTGGCACCATACAGAAGTCAAAGTCTTCTGGGGCCTGGTATTGATGTGTGTGTACATGCAGGTACATGCTCAGGCCAGAGGACCTCAGCCGTCATTTCTAAGATGCTATCCACCTTTGTAAAATTCTTTTACTGGCTGGAAACTTACCCTTGGCAGGTAGGTTAGGCCAGCTGACCCAGGAAGCCCCTAGGGGCCTGCCTATCTCTCTCCATTGTACTGGGATTATAAGTATGTACCACCATGCTTCACTTTGTGGATTCTGGGATCAAACTCCTGACTGACCTATCTCTCCAGCTTCTTTTATTTCCAGACAAATCCTCTTTCATGTATCCCAGGTTATCTTCAAACTAGCTATACAGCCAAGGAAGACCTTGTATGATCCTACTTCCACCTTCCCAATGCAGGATATCTGGCACCATGTCAAGTTTCATATCTTTCACACATTGACAGAACCCTCGGTGACTGACAGCATCATTCCCAAGTGTGTATGTGTGGTGCTGAGGATTGAACCTAGGGCTCTTTGCATATTGGGCAAACACTGTATGCACCACTGAAGTATATATCCAGCTCTTGCTAACTTTTTGTTTTCAGAGACAGGGTTTCTCTGCGTAGCACTGGTACTTCCTCAGTAAACCAGGCTAGCTTTGAACTCATAGATCCACCTGTCTCTGCCTCTTGGGTGCTGGGATCAAAGTCATGTGCCATCACCACCCAGCTAATTGTTCAACATTATTATACGCAATCCTATCAATAATTTTAAGGCCTAACCTTCAAGGCATACCTGCTCGAGCTCACTCTGTCTCTCTTCGTTTTTTTCTCTGTGTACCCTTGGCTATCCTGGAACTCCCTTTGTAAGCCAGAAAACTCCCCTTCATAGACCAGGCTGTCCTGGAACTCACAGAGTTCTGCCTGCCTCTGCCTCCCGAGTGCTGGTATTAAAGATGTGAGCCACCACCCCTTGGCTTCTTCGCTCTTATTTACAAAGGGTCTTATGTAGCTCAGGCTGGTCTCCAAGATATTACATAGCCATAGATGGTCTTGAACTTCTGACTCTTCTGTCTCTGCCTCCAAAAGGTCCAGTTGCACACACCAACTTCTCATAGTTGTTTAGAAACTTGTTTTACAGAAGTGAAAGGAGCTATTTGGGGATCTGACATGGTGGTGGCAGGGGGAGGAAGGGATTGCCTTTGGAATCTAAAGGACTTTCCTACTTGAAGAAAAAAACATGACAAATAATCCTAAGAATAATATGTGTTTACTACCACTGGTAAAAACAAAGAATAAAAAAGAACCCGAAACATTTATTAAAGTAGATACAGAACTCAGATTTTAATACTGCTTTACATATTTTGTTTGTGAAATAATTCCTATAGTTTTATTAACCCAAAATGCCAACTGGGAACAGATTTGTTGACAGTTCACTCGTCAAGCACAGTGGATAATCTTAAGGGGGGACAGGGCAAAGGCTTATATACAATGACGGAAGTTCTTATCCTGCACACTGCATGGAGGTGCACGTGATTGCTTTTTACAAATCCTCAAAGACATTCAAGTGAAGACAAACAGACTCAGACTGGCTGATAAACTCTTCAGTTGGTTGAGGTCCTTTGTTTTATCTTTTTTGTGATAAGAAAATTCAAAATTATTCATGTTGAATTTCTCATCATACATTCATTAAAAATACAGTAAAAAAACAAAACCCACAAATGTATAAAGGAGGGTTGTAGATCAGTTAGCTTAGCTGTCTTAAGAGTGGCTTGGTTTGCTGCTGGGGTTATCTGCTAAAGAAGGGAAACACAACCAAAGAGCCGGAGACCATTCTTCCAGCTACTCAGATCTGGCTAAGAAACAACATGGAGACACAGACAACGGCTGTGACACCGCAGAGCCCATCTCTGGCCCAGTCGGTCACATCCTGATGAGCTTTTAGGTGTTTTCCTTTTCATAAAGGTAAAAAAATCCAAAAAGAAGACACATTGTATATACTTTTTTCCCAAAATATAGATTTTTTAAAAAATATATATACATATATAGAGGTTGAAATTATGTAAAACTAATAAAGAAAACACCACTGTCGGTCCATGGGTGCAGCATATACGATTAGAAAATGTCCCCACAGCAGTTTGGGGCTTTCCCTTCCCTTTTACCTGTTTCATGATTTATAATCACACCTAAGTATTGTCAAGCCTGGAAAAGGCACTGCTGAGAGCAGGCAGTGCAGAGAGCTTGGATATTTAGGAGTAAAAGTATTTAAATAAGGACATGAAATTGCAAAGTGGCGCATTTTTTTTTCCTTTTGCAACTCATTCCAGTGTCAAAGCATAACAATAACATCAACAACCTAAATATACAGACGTAGCCAAGATACATTTTAGTGCAAATATGAGAATTAACAGCATAATTTAAAGTTTCTTAAATAAGATGCTGCCAGGGTCCAGCTTGTCCCAGAGTGTTTCTCTAGGACCAAAAAGTAACTGCACCTGGTACAATGTCTCAAACCTCAAAAATCCGGAAAACAAGGATGGAAGTGCAAGCCCACCACCAAATATTTATTATTTTAACTTATGAGAGGAAATGAAAGGGAAGTTTGTTGAAGATCAAAATACTTTCTGAGATTTGTTGACAGGGGGTCAAAAAATAAGGAGTTCTTGGAAGTTGTACACGCACTGCTGGTGGAGAACTGCTGAGGTGGCAGCATCTGCGAAGCCCGGGTCTGCCCCGCCCCCCGGGTCTGCCCCGCCCCCCGGCCTCCTCAGAAGGTCTCGTCGTCATTGCAGTTGGTTGCCCAGTGCCCAAACATCTCACAGATCTCACAGTACGGCCGCTCCTCGCTCCGGCTGCCGTGGTGAGTGGAATGGGGCGGGTCTTCCGACATCTGTGCCTGAGTGGGGCAGTCCTCTGTATCATGGAGATCAAAGCAGTCACAAATGTCACAGAAGAGGCGGGGTTTCTTCTTGGACTGCTTCTCCTGGTCATCACTACAAATGTCAATATAGAAAACCAGGAAGTTGGTCAGAAGAAACTCAGGAGGTGACAGGACTCACAGAGAATTTTTTAAATGCCTAGGAACTAACAATAGCCACAGATAGCAGCTTCTAAAGACAAACCTTTATAAAATGTGCAGGCTAGGCTGGAGGATGGCTCGCTCAGCTGTTAAGAACAGAAGGTCCGGCACCCATAAAGAGGCCCACAACCATCTCTAACTCCAGTTCTACGCCATCTAATGTCCCCTTCTGGCCTCCAAGGGCACCAGGCACACATGTGGTGCACATATATACATGCCAGCAAAATGCTCTATACACAAAATCAGTCTAATAAAGTGACCAGCTTGGACCTCTGTGCTCTACCGTTCTTGCCAGATGTATAGCGTTTGCCCTGACAACATGGCCACACAGCTGCTGGAGAAGGAACCTGAGCACTGACATTTGGACCTCTTGGGATGGACGGGGCTCTGTCACACCTGTCGTAGCTGTTCAGGTCGTCCCCGCTGCCGTTGAGCGCAGCTTCAGACATCATCTCCACCTTCATCTTCAGGTCTTGGTTCTTCCTTTGAAGGTCCACTATTACCGAGTTGAGGAAATCAATCTGATTTTTTCAAAGAAAAAAGAAGCAATGAGCTATGTGAACATCTAAGCCCCTCACAGCTGCAGTATCTAGAAGTTGGAAGGGTGTGCTCAGACTACAGCTGCAAACGTGTCACAGCAGGTCCAAGGGACAGGGATGCTGAGGGTGGGGGGTGAACTGCAGCTAGCGAGAATGAGATCATAGCTAGAGAGGCAAGGAGGTTTCTTTCCTTTTCCATCCTCAGTGTTTGTTACTAATGAACTATTTTGTATCAAAAGACACTTTAAATTCATGTCATTGAGTCTTTGTAGCTGCAAACGGGTAAACTTCACTTGTCATTCAGACAAATGACATTACACTTAAATCACTAATCTGTGGACTGGTGAAATGCTACTGTTATTTTTCAAGAAAACAAAACATCTTATACTGTCCATAGTCAAAATCTCACATTTCTGAATACCTGGTTTGTTTTTCCTTTGAGCGAGGCATGCGTGCATGTGTGTACAGGGGATCTTTGGAAAAGATATAGGGGCTTAATAGAGAATGCCACGCTCCCTTTCTGCTAAAGAGAGGTACGACATGCTCCCACACATACAGAAGGGCGCCCAGTCTAAGAATTGCTGGCGGCAAAGACAACAAAGTGACTAACAAAAGGTAACATGTCCAGAACACTTTGTGTCTTTTAAGGGTACTCAAAACAACAAAACATTCTCCCCACTTTTACAAAGTAAAACGTTTCATTTCTGTAAATTGAAAAGTTTCTCTCTCAATACACACACTTTAGCTGTTCTTCCTTCTTTTTTTGAATAAACTCTTGCTAAGTATATCTCAGGCTGACCTCAGACTCACTAGTAAGTTAGGCATGATACACACCTTTAGTCCCAGCACTCAGGAGGCAGAGGAAGGCTTCTGTTATTTTAAAGCTAGCCTGGTCTATATAGTTAGTCACTGTCTCAAACAAACAAAAAACAAATCCCCAAACCCAATTCACCTTGAACTTTCTTCCTTTTATTTTTTTTAAAAGATAGGATCAGGATCGTACACTGTAGCTATCTTAAATGAATAGAGATCTTCCTGCCTCTGCCTCCTGAATGCTGGGGTTACATGAATGTACTACCAAACCCGACTTTCTTTTTTATTCCAGATTTATGTGTATGAGTGCTGTGCCTGTGTGGCTGTGGAGGTCAGGAGGGAACACTGGATTCCCTGGAACTAGAGTTAAGGGTGGTTGTGGACCTGTGGGAACTGAAACCAGTCTTCTATAAGAGCAACTACCGCTCCTAACCACTGAGCCATCTCCCCAGCCCCCACATCCGACTTTTAGGCTACATCTTCTAAGTCATTCTGTAAGGCTCCATTCCACAGACAAGGGAACCATACACACAATCACACGCACAAGTACACACAAATTAGGAAGCATAAAACAAACCATTTGCTGATAGGAGGGAAAGTGTTGGCAGCAGCAGCAGAAACAGATGGAAGCAGAAAGGAAGGAGGGGGAGAAAAAACAATGTTAATTCTGTACTACGCCTGGGAGACGCTAAGAGACAAAGCTAACGTTGGGTCAGTCGGAGTCTGAGAGCTGTGTAAGGGAACTCCTTATAGCACTGGTTTTTAATACATACCCACAGGCTTAGACAGATCCCAGTGTCCTGTTCACCAAAAGGGAACTGACTAAACTATGGTAATCCACATCGGAATTCTACACAGCTAAAGAAATGAAAAGTACAGAATGGTTTATGTGGTATGCTACTAATGTTTAAAAAAAAAAAATGTAGGCTGGAGAGATGGCTCAGTGGTTAAGAGCACTGACTGCTCTTCCAGAGGTCCTGAGTTCCATTCCCAGCAACCACATGGTGGCTCACAACCATCTGTAATAGGATCTGATGTTGTCTTCTGGTGTGTGTCTGAAGACATCTACAGTGCATTCATATACATTATATAAATAAATCTTAAAACAAAACAAAGCAAAACCCTACAGGGAGGCAGCTGTGGTGGTGCTGCACAACTGGGATTCAGTAATGGAGGCAGGGCCGCAGACGCAGCAAAGTTCGAGGCCAATTAGGGCTGCATAAAACCCTGTGTCTCAAAAAAAGAAAAAAAAAGTCCCAGCACTTGGGAGGCAGAGGCAGGTGGATCTGAGTTTGAGGCCAGCCTGGTCTACAGAGTGAGTAACAGGACAGCCAGGGCTACACAGAGAAACCCTGTCTTGAAAAACAAAACAAAAAAAGGCAAAACTTAAAGTACTGGAGTGTGGGAGTGGGAGAGACAGCTCAGTGGTTAAGAGCACTGACTGCTCTTCCAGAGGTCCTGAGTTCAATTCCCAGCAACCACATGGTGGCTCACAACCATCTGTAATGGGATCCGATGCCCTCTTCTGGTGTGTCTGAAGATAGCTACAGTGTACTCACGTACATAAAATAAATAAAATCTTAAAAAAAAAGTGCTGGAATATGCTTGTGCAAGGCAGGGCTCTTCTGTGTCACACAGACTCTCAGACTCCATAGTTCCACTGACCTTCCCACCTCAGCCTTCCAAATGAGCTATAGGGATGTGCTGTCACACAGCACAGCTACAAAAACAACAAAACCCCAACATGTCTGCAACAGGGAAGACCCGGGGGAAGAGTGTCAGGATGTGGGAAATGAGCAGCGGAGACCAGAAGGCTTTTTACTATGCACATTTTAATGCTCGGCGTTGTACTCTCGGTACCTAGTGACTCTGGGGACAGGCAGACAGCAGAAGCACTAATAGAAGAGCATTACCTGACTCTCCTGGGCTCTCTCATCCTCTTCTGCCTGAGCATCGGTATTACCTTGTGTTAAAACAAGAAGAGGACCATCAAAGGGAGCACTGGGAAACACGAGCCAGCGCCTTTCTGCTGCAGTGAGATGCCATGGGACGCTCACTCCTGTGTCTCTCCGAGAGTGGGGATAAGTCCCTGCCTGCTCTCTGGCTGCTACTGGGTCTTGAAGATGCTGGCCCTGTCCCTTCAGCCCAAGATGGCCACCAATGGGTACTAGTTCCTGATGTTTATGGCTGCTCTCCAGCTGACCCCACCAAGGTGATCTCTGTTCTCCTTGCTGCTTTGCACTGAGGCCTCATGGTTTGCTTGTAAGATGGCAGTGGTCACGTGCTGTCTTATGTGTGCTGTAACAGTCACACAGCATGAGACAACAACACCGGGCACACTTGTGACTATCCCTTTGGCTAAATGTTGGGAGAGGCAGGAGCAGGGCAGCTGGGCAGCAGATGGGAAGGGGCCCCTCTACCGGGAGCAGCTCTCTGGAGGAGGTGCTGGGTGGGATGGGAGGAGAGCGGGGTGAGGAGGCCCACGTGGAAGGGCAGGCTCTGGTTACCTGAGGAGCTGCTGAGCTGCCTCTTGTTCTCCTTGAGTTGGAGCTCCAAGTTCTTGACCTTGAGCTCCAGCTTCACTTTGTCAGACTCCAGCGTCTGCACGACGGAGTGCAGGGACTTGGCGGAGGCGTTCTCTCCCCTGAGCACTGTGACCTGTGTGTGGCACAGAGGCTGGGCTCAGGCCAGGAGGAGGGGCGGAATGTGACGACAGGAGCATCTATCCCCCCACGGCCCCGGCCCCCTACCTCATTCCTCAGCTTCTCCAGTTCTGCGTCTTTCTCCGTGAGTAAGGCACTGGTGAGGCTGATGGATTTCTGCAAGGAAGCTTTCTCTTCATCGGCGTCTTTTCTGTACTCAGATTCTCTAAAAAGACCAGAGAGTTAAACAGGTCCAGAGATCAACTAGGGCAGCAGTCAGCAAGCAGCTGTTCCAGAACAGACTTGAGAGTAACTTCAGTTAACATCGTTAAAAATAAGAAAGGTGGGCAGGTGCATAGGGATTGAGGCTGTTGACGCCTGTAAATGTTACTTACTGTGCGCGAGAGAGAAAAGGTTTATATGCACAGGCATGCAGAGCCTGCGTGTCATTGTGTCCATTTGAACTCAAAGAGACAAGTTAATACATTTGGAAGATGTAGATTTAAAAAAAAATAATTGTTGTACCCCCCCACCCCCCTCCCAAAAAAACCATAGCCAAATATATACTTGAATATTGTTACTTCTGGAATAAATAATTACCAAGCAATGACAATTAAAATACGTACATGCAAAGCAATTATACAGATGTCATGCAGAGCAGTTTTATGCTGGAAATATCCGTTGGTTCTCACTAATTTCAGTAACGTTTTAGCAAGTTCAGAGATCGTGTTTTTAAGATTGTGTGAGCCAAAATGGTAGCAAAGATTTTATTATTCAAACTGAAAGTTAATTGCTTTTCAATCAATCTGAAGAGGCCACTGGGCTGCTTCTATAATTGAACTACAGGAAGGCTGGAGCAGAAGAGAACATGGCTCTTCATAGGCAAAACAGAACATGAGGGGTTCTACAGGAATGTAGCCCCGTTCTCTGCTGGCTCGCTAGGGGGCGCGAGAGGCCTTTGGAAAAATACAACTGTCCACTGGAGAGCCTGGGGTTACAAGAGGAAAGGATGGGGGGGAGGGGTGGACACATGGAGGTTGGGCAAGACACAAAGGAGTCAGCCTCAAAGGAGAGCGGCCAAAGTGTGTAAGTGTGTGAGGTGTGGGTATAGTTAAAGTTGTGAAATACAAATACACTGAGGTCAGCCTTTGTGAGGGACTGTCACCGACCAAAAGAGACTAAGGGGACAGAATGGCACAGGTACAATGACAATGCTACTTCCTAGCTTGGATCCTGATGAGGAAAATTACTGTGATGGAAAACCACAGAGAGCTAAGTGGTGGTGACTTTGTGGCTATGTGACATGTTCACAGCGGGGCAGCTGACTAGGGAACTGAACTGGCTGTAAAACCTTTACAACTCTTCTAGAAACCTAAAATCAGCCTTTAAAATAAAAGTTTCTTAATGTTTTTAATAAACAGACTTTGTGTCACTAAATTACTTTAGGGAAGAAGAAAACAAGAGAAAGGTGTCTTGGGCTAGCGCTCAGGCCACACAGTCTCAGACCCTGCGGCAATGCAGGTGGTCAGAACTAGCAATCAGGTCCCTGCCAGTTAGTTCTATGGGAAGCAGGTGGGTGAATGCAGAGCAAGTGGCATTTAATCTGTTGTAGATAGACTAGAGTAGAAAAGGGAGGTCCAAGTTAGAGGGCAGAGGTATGGTTACTTAGTGAGACCCAAGGTATCCGGCACGTGAATTACAAAATTCTCATGGTTTATGATAAACTGAAATTCTACACAAAGATGAAAATAAACGTGTTGTATTTATCTCGTTGTGTGGCTTACACTTTTACACTCCAGAATGATGAGTAGTAAGAAAAGAATCTGAGACTTTACCGAAATGTTTTGAATTAGTAACACTGGGAAGGAAGGGGCATTGGTGTCCCTAAGGTCCTGAGTGTGTGTTAGGAAATGGGCGGTTGAATTAAAGCGGGGCTCCGGAAGTGGGAGGGACAAACAGGCATTTCTGCGATGTGAAAAGTAAGGCTCCAGTGCTATCCAAAGACACAGGAAATTTGGGCTTGTTGCATTTCTCTGAAGCATATTTGGTATTTTGTTTTATTGTAAAAATGAATTCTGGCACTTCACTTATTTCAACTGCCACTCAGATTTGAAATACATAAGCTTAAAGGTTTTTACTGAAAATTGGCATGCTTGGAGTTTGCTGAAAACAGATACGGAGTCTCTCCTATACCCAAAGCCAAAATGGCTAAGATCCCATGACATTTAGTACTGGGAGGAACAGTCACTGGTACGGGCAGAAGGGCCACCGACCTGACTCTGTGTTTACCCTGTCTACACAGTCTGCTAAGAGGAAGGAGGCAGGATGTTTCCTACACAAATCAACCAAAAGACACACGTTGAACAAAGAGATGGCTCAGTGGTGACGTCACTGCCACCAAGCCTGATGATTTGAGTTTGACCCTGAGAATCCATGTGGGGTAAGAATCCCTCTATAATATGGGGACACAGACAGACAGATGGACGGACACATGCACACACACACACACACACACACACTAAATGTTAAAAAAAAATAAAGAGAAAGAGGAAGAAAGAAAGCAGGTCTACCAGATGGCAGAGCACACAGGCTTGGCAGTTCATCTGTGACAGATCTTCAGTGATAGCTTCCTAGGCAATTCTTAAGCAATTTCTATGCCCTAATTCCTCTGTACAAACCAAGAGGGGCTGAATGAAAACATCTATGCCAACATTACTGATGTATGAGAAGCAAACTGATAATTTAAGCCATGTTGGCTAGAAGGGATTGCTCAAACTATGAATACCAAGAAGGGAAGCTAACAGTATGAAAGAAGACAGCAGGGCCAGAAACTCTTGTCCCATCCCCTGTGGGAATACATCACTCAGATTCTTTTCTTACGACTTACATAAGAAATAAAGTCCAGTAATGAAGCAAATACCTTAAAGTGTTACTGGGCAAGCTTTAAAATGCAAGATAATAAGAACCAAATATTAGAAACATGGAGAGAAATGCAAATACAGTAAGGAGAACTAAATTTGCACCCAAGTTCTTTGCTGGTATCAAAAAGAAGTGTGGTGGTGGAGATGGTGATGGTGGTGTGTGTGTGTGTATGTGTGTGTGTATGTGTGTGTGTGTGTTTGTGTGTATACTGCTGAGCATATTTTACAAAACAAAAGCAAGACACAGAGGGACAAAGGCAGCCAAAAAATATATACAACAATTTGGTTTACTAAAAATATATGAGGTTTATTTATTATAACGTGGATAGACTTTCTTTAGTCTTACCATGAAAGACACACAGATATAGCAAAGGAAGCAAGAGTAGGAAAGGGAAAAGAGAGGGGTGAGATGAGCATTGGTAGTAGCGCAAGCTCGGAGACAGTCAGACAGTTACAACCCACAGTGTGCGCAAGAGCTGAGCAGCGCAGGCCGCTTCGGGAGTGGAGGCAGTACCGGCATTCCTCAAGGGCTGTCATTCTGTACTACCAGAGTGAATTTAGACCCCCATAAATCCATGTATAAAACTTGGCCTTGCTGTCCCTTCTTTGACATTAAAAAACCCAGAGCAAGAAGGAAGCCAGTCAGTTCCCCAAGGAGCATCGGCCTGGGCCGTGGTGGAGGAGCACATGCCGCCTGCTCCAGCGGTCACACAACCCTGCCTTGTCAGTTACATCCGTTAACTCCCTCTCCTGTTTTTGTTTTGGTTAAGACAAGGTCTCACTGTGTAATCCTGACAGGCCTGAAACTCACTGTGTAGAGCAGCAGGCTGTCTTGAACTCAGAAAGATCCTCCTGCCTCTGCCTCCTTAGTGCTGGGATTAATGGCTGGAACCTGTTCTTAAAGATGTGTGCCCAACTGTCACCCAGTTTTGCAAATGATTACAGTTTTAAATTCAGAGAAAACCCTTCAGTACATATTACCTGCAACACAATGTTTATAGATACTAAAATCCCAAAGCAAACACTACTGACTTCTTTACAACAGTCTCTTACAGCCTTATTAGCCCTAAACTTTATGTGTAGCTGAAGATGACCCTGAACTTCCAAGTGCTGGGATTGCAGGCATATTCTACCATGCTTGGGTCATAATTTTAAAAGTTATTTACTTTAAGTGTGTGGCGGTCAGAGAACAACCTGCTGGAGTCAGTTCTCTCCTTCCATCATGGGGTCTGGAGGACTGAACTCAGACTGTCAGGCTTGGGGACAGGTGCTCTTACCCACTAAGCCACCATTTCACCAGCCCTTAGTTTACAATTTAACTTTACTCATTGGGCCAGGGCAGTTTTGAGATCCTCAGATCCCATGGAAGTCTTTTCCTAGGGTCAGGTGCTGGATGGAAGCCAGGACCTTACAGGAGCTAAGCTGGAGGTCTCATGCTGAGCTAGAGCTCACACCTCAGTGACTGTCTCACCTGATGTGGGGGACTCCTGCAAGTCCTCATCACTCCTCATGAGGAATGTGGTCATTCTCTGCCCTCACGTCTAACTTAAACCATCTACATGGCTGTTGCCGCTCTCATCAACAAAAGAAGTGTGTGTGCTTTGATGGGAATTTGGAAGGTGTTGCTATCAAGATCATATAAAATCTTCAGTCCTCTACGCAGAACAGACATAGCTAACCATCACAAGCACACATCTACAAAGGAAGCCTTACCAAACTGACATTTGGGAGGCATTGAAGGGTCTAAATTGTTGCTAGTTTAAAATACATTCAAGTCCAGTCTTCCATAATAGAAACAAATGTCCATGAGGGTTGACTAGTAAGAGAAAATCAGTTTAAATATGGAAACTAAATTTAAAACTTTTTCACTTTCTAAAAAATCACAATCTTTATGTTCATCAAAATTAGCAGGAGTCATCTTAATGCTCTGGCTGTGGTGGTCGAGATTGAAACTAGGGTTTCAAGCATGCTGGTAAGTGTCTGATCATGTATAGACCTTCTAGTACTTTTACTTTGTGAGACAGATCTCATTTTAGGGCTGTCCTTGAACTTGTGACCCTCTTACCTCAGCTTCCCCAATAGCTACTAGGCCTGGCTTAAATTAATAGTAATATTTGAGAGACACTTTGCTAAACATATAATTTAGTAAGTCACGTGATAAGAAGGAGCTTATGAAGTATAAAAATCTTCAAAAACTCAGTAATAAATAAGAGGCTAAAGGTACATGGAGAACTGAACACAAAAGCCCGACATCCCAGGTCTCAGCCGGCACCTGTCCTTCATCAGCCTGAGTTCTTGGTGAAGTTCTGGTCTGGGGGCTTCTGCTTCATCATTAAACAATGCACACCCCACCACAGCTTCCACATAAACATTTGAGATTATAAGGACTCGTGAACTAAGAGCATTGTGTAAATGTAAAGAGATTATATACTAACACCAGCCTGTTTTCATTCATTGCCTCTTTTGAGGAAGCTATAGGCACAAGGCCTCATTCTTCCTGTGTTTGTAGACACCTGACCACAGTGAGACACCTGTGTGTTCTAGAAAGGAAAGACCTGCTCAGAGAAACTCAGAGGAAGCTAAGTATTTCTTAATTAAAACCAGAGAGAAGGAAAGGCTTCTCCTGGACAAAGGCCTAATAGCCTCCAAAATACAGCAATTTACACTGCACCCAAATGTTTTGTAGGCTAAATAAAACCTTGAAATCCCACAAGTGAATCACATCCATCAGACATCAGTGGGACTGGGAAGCCTCTTCTGCCTTTGCTAAGAGCACGAGAACATTTTGGGATAGGCAAAATTTCTTTTCTTCTTTTAAAGCACAGGGTCTCATGTAGTCCAGGCTGACCTCAAACTTAGCATGTACCTGAGGGTGACTTTGAACTACTGATTCTCTCAGCACCTCCAAGGATCACAGATGGTTTTGTTGGGTTTGGTGAGGGGATGAACAGAGGAGCTCATACATGGTAAGCTCTGTACTGCTGAGTTATATTCTTATCCTGACTTTAATTACGTAACTAGCCATTCATTCATTCATTCATTCATTCATTCATTCATTCATTCATTCATTCATTTATGACAGGGTGTCACTATACAGCTTGGCTGGCCTGAAACTCTCTTTGTAGACTAGGCTGGCCTTGAACCCACAGAGATCCTCCTGCCTCTGTTCCCAAGCACTGAGTTAAAGTCCTGTGCCTGGCCATTTTTGTGGTTTTTGTCTTGTGTAGCCCACACTAGCCTTAAATTTGCAAGGTAACAGGACAACCTCGAACTCTCTACCCTCCTGCTTCTACTTCCTGTGTGCTGAACTTCCTGTTGCTGTTGTGATCCACATCTGTTGAGAATTCTTCAGCAGGATGGACTACTGTCTACTCCACACCCCTTTAGCTTGCAGAGAAGCACAGAACTACCCTAGGCATACATAACTGCTTGACTCAGAGTAAAGGACATGGGAGCGTATAAGCATCAGACTTGGGGGTATTCATTTCTTCCCTTTTTATATTAGGTTTCGTGGTGGTGGTGTTGCTTGAGACAGGGTTTCTCTGTGTAGCCCTGGCTGTCCTGGAACTCACTCTGTAGACCAGGCTGGCCTCAAACTCAGATCCACCTGCCTCTGCCTCCCAAGTGCTGGGATTAAAGGCGTGCACCACTATACCTCACTTTTATTTTATTTTTTTAAAGCCATATTTTGCTATATAGCATAGGACGGACTCAAATCTCGAATCCTCCAGTCTCAACCTCATGAGTGTTGGAATTACGGGCATATCCTATCCTGAACTGGCTTAAATATTTAATTTCCATGGACCACATTTATCTCTACTCAAAAGTACCTGGAAAGTTATATGATATTATGGAGAGATAATAAATAATAGATACAAAGTACTTATTATTAAAAAAAAATCAAACGTTCCCCTCAGTGAAATCAGTATTTATATCTAAAGTGATCACTATATATAAACTGTAATACTGTTCATTTCTAAGACCAGGCAGTGCCATCAGTATGAGGCAATCTGCGTGTAGAGCTCCTCTGAGCAAATGCAACTGAAAATGGCTTAAAAATTTAAGTATGTGACACTTGCACAAACGGAGCTTCGTAACCTGCCACTTGCGAACATTAAAATACCACAATGCCATTTTCTGAGTATAAACAGTTGACTGTTTTCCACAAGCTAGTATACATGCCACATTCTGAAGCTGTCCTTGTTAAACACACACACACATCAATAAACATAGAGCCTACCTCTTTTTCATTTCTAACAACTGATTATTGAGGACAGATCGTTCTTCTTCCAGCTGAAAAACAAAAACAGAAAGAGTTCAGTTGACAGCAGTCCACAGAGAGGGCCACTGCTCCTTCAGACGGCCTGCGTGAAGGCAGCAGACACTGCTGCTTTTCTCTCAAGCAGTGAATTTTTCAAGAAGTCACCTCCAAGAAGGTAGCTATTACTTTAAAAGTTGCTTAGATCTGATGGCTTCCCCCTTCTGGATAAGCCTGAGTGTTTGAAATATTAAATCATAGCACTTTGAACATAATATAACAGTGTTTTTGTTTTGAGACAGGGTCTCATCATGTAACCCTTGCTGGACTGGAACTCACTACACAGGACACATCCACCTCCCTCTGCCTCTTAGATGCTAGAATTAAAGGTGTCCACAACCATATCCAGCTCCTTTTTTTTTTTTTTTGGTTTTTCGAGACAAGGTTTCTCTGTGCAGCCCTGGCTGTCCTGGAACTCACTCTGTAGACCAGGCTGGCTTCGAACTCAGAAATCCACCTGCCTCTGCCTCCCAAGTGCTGGGATTAAAGGCGTGCGCCACCACCACCCGGCTCCAGCTCCTTTTTAAACACAGAATTTCATGTAGTCCAGGCTGGCCTAGAATTTGCTACATGGTCAACAATGGTTTTGAACTCTTTGTCCTCCAGCTCCCACCTCCAGAGTGCTGGGATATGGGTTAAGGTTGCCACACCCAGCCCTACACAGTAACATACAAGCTTTCAGCCAACATCCACTGAATGACACTTCCAACATTAGCATCCTGGACGCTTTTTTTAGATCACAGTGTCAAGAACTTGCAGAAGTCAAAAAAGAAGCTACCTGTTCTCTGCACGCATATAGTCACAGTTTGGGGACATTACAGCAGAGAAGTGTCCAGGAGCTTATATTAAACACAGGAGAGGGAGCTAGAATGGCTCAGTGGTTGAAAGCACCAGCTGCTCTTGTACAGCAGCTCACAGCCGCCTGTAACTCCACTTCCGGGGGAGCCAATAAATGCCTTCTGCTGCTCTCAATAGGCACTGCATGCACATGCTGTGCAGACATACACTCAGGCAAAATACTCATACACATAAAATAAAAATAAATAAATCTCTAAAGAAAAACACACAAGAAGTGGAATCGGGAAAACAAACGCTAGGCCCTTTGCTTATTTCCAACCATCATTTCAGCTGAGATACGCTAGCCTGGGTGAAGTGAAGGCCAGGCGCAAACACCAACTCTGCTTTCCTTAGGCTCAGTAAAGCTGCTTGAAGGGCAGGAGGCATGGCCCCTCTTCTTTGCTCCCTGCTGTAATTTAAGGCAGGGACAGTCCGGCAGAGGGTGAATGGATGCTCAGAAGGCGGTGCTCTCTGCATGATAGTAGCACACTTGGAAGCCCAGCTCCTCACAGGATGAGCTCCCCTGCTGAGAATCTAAGCTGGATCTTCTTTCCCCCAGCTTTCCCAGTGAAGTGGTTCATTTGTACTATTTCAGTCTCTTCTCCAAGTGAGTGTTCTGAGGTCCAAAATAGCAACTCTACCTTGACAGCGCAGAACACATTCTCTGTGTCTGAGGATTTCTCGTCTCGCCTCCTACACACAGACAGACAGACTTCTGCTCTTAGAAAGGAGATGGAAATGGAAAAGGGGAGGGAAGGATCCAGAAGGTCTTTCGTGACTGAGTACTTCCAGAGATGTATGGAGGACAGAGGACACCTGCTATGGGGCCCTTCCCAAGAAAAAAACGGTTTGCCAGCTTCTAGGAGCAGAAGCAGGAGACAGCTTCCTCAGGGACTGCCAAAACGCCAAACAAACAAAACCAACAAAACAAAACCACAGAGCCACATCTGCAGGGCCGGACCATTTCCAGACTACATCCAGTGACTGATCAACAGAGACTTTAAATACTGTGGGCCAGTGAGACGACTCAGTGGGTCAGGGCCCTTACAGCCAAGCCTGATGACTTGAGTTTGATCTCTGGTCCTCATATGGTCCCCTTGTCTTCATGTTTATATCATGCACACACATTGTCTTAGTCCTTAGTCCTGACTCCCAGGTGCTGAAGACAGATACTTTCCCCTCAGTCCCCTAGTATCAAAGTAGAAAAGGACTGTTCTTTTCAGCCCTAACCCCTGGCAGCCATTCACCACCTAGACACTTGTTAGGACCAGGGAACAGCTCTCTAGAACTTCTTTCAAATGCTAGAGGTGAGCAGGATGCTGGAGAAGTCTAGAGCAGTGGTTCTCAAACTTCCTGATGCTGCAACCCTTTTGTACAGTTCCTCATGTTGCAGTGACCCCAACCATAAAATTATTTTCATTGCTACTTTATAACTATAATTTTACTACTGTTATGAATTGCAGTGTAAATAGTTGATAGGCAGAATATGTTATTTGAGGCTCGTGTCTAAGGGTCATTTGACTACCCTCCCCAAAGGGGTCATGACCCTCAGGTTGAGGACCTCTGCTGTAGAGGCAGATCCTAAGCAAGAAAGTTAAGACATGTTGGCTCAGGAAAGACCATGAGTACCTGTTGGTCTCTTGGCAGATTTCCTAATATAATGTTTGACAAGTGAACGAAAGACTCTCCACCAAAGCAGAAACTGTTGGCCTCAGAGAGCGTGCCACGCACAACATTATTATTTTGTTAAGAATAATTAACTTCATTTTAAATGAAACACACTCTTTTTTAAAAGATTTAACAATACTGTATAGAAACAAAATCAAAAGGAAGAAAATATCCCTTCATATTGTCACTAACAGACAACTCAAAATAGCATCAGCTGAACGGGACTGGAGATACACAGGTTATTTTTATTTTAGTTAGTGTGTTTGAGTGCTCAGGCACAGGTCTGTTAAGGTCAGAGGACAATTTTCGGGATTTGGTTTTTGCCTTCGACTGTACTGAGGCAGGCAGGGTCTCTCCTGTTTCTGCTGCTATGCGCTGCACAGTCTACTCAGGCCGGCTGGCTCATGAGCTTCTGGGCCAGTCTCCTGTCTCACAAATACTGGGAATACAGACCCACCCCGTCCCATTCAATGTTTGTTTGTTTTTGTTATTATTCAACAGGGTCTCTCTATGTGGCCCTAGCTGGCCAGGAACCCACACATAGACCAAGTTGTCCTTGACTTCACAGAGATGGGACCTGCCTCTGCCTCCCACGAGTCCTGGAGATCTACCTCAAGTTGTGAGACTAGGGTGTACAGTTATCCCTTTTACCAGATGAGGTGCCTCTCTGGTTGTTCTAATAATTTTAGTAATTTTATTAAAATAATTTTAATATTTTATTTTAATAATTAGCTTTCCTGCCTAGGCACTGAAACTGCTTTCTAACTTCTTAAGTGTCAGTACTAACTGTCATTATTACTGTGTGTGATGATGTGTATGCATCATGTTTAAAAAATACAACAGCAAATAGTAAACGAATTTTGACATGGATTAGGACAGAACTTCCAATGTTTCTGAAATGGCACTAGGCATACTTCTACCATTTTGCATTACATATTTCTGTGAACAGCTCTGACTGTTATAAAATTGCTGTTTATTTGTTTTGAGGCAAGGTCACAATAAATAGCTCTGGTTGACCTGGTACTCACTATGTAGAGAACAGGCCAGTGTCAAACTCAAAGAGATCCACCTGCTTCTATTTCCCAAGTGCTGGAAGGAAAGGCAAAATCAAAATATTGATGAACTCTGAAAAGTGTTGAAGATATTCTACGGCCGAGCGGTGGTGGCGCATGCCTTTAATCCCAGCAATTGGGAGGCAGAGGCAGGCGGATTTCTGAGTTTGAGGCCAGCCTGGTCTACAGAGTGAGTTCCAGGACAGCCAGGGCTACACAGAGAAACCCTGTCTTGAAAAACCAAAAAAAAAAAAAAAAAAAAAAAAAAAAAAAAAGAAAGAAAGAAAGAAAGAAAGAAAGAAAGAAAAGAAGATATTCTACATTCTGCAGTATCAAATATGCAGCCAACATTTAACTTTTTAGATGTAAAAGAAAATAGCAACCTATATCTTTCCTATATGAATGTTCTTTCATCTTTAATAAATGGTAAAACTACATATACCTCAAAGGGTTATCTAAAATAAATTTCTTATTATCAGAAAGATGTTTAGCTGGCCATAGAGAATTTTATTTTATATGCCTATGAACCTGGAGCTATAAAAATATTTCTCAGGCAAAAAGAGGGCATGAGTGGAGACCCCCTCAGGAAGCCTTGGTTTTAGCTGGTGCAGTGGCACACGACTGTCACCAGATTGCTTGGAGGTAGTGGCAGGAAGATTTAAGAGTTCAAAGCTGGCCTCAGCTACATTAGTAAGTTTGAGGCCAGCCTGTGCTACATGGAATCCTATCTTAAACAAAACAAGAGCAACAGGGACAGCAGCTCATACTGAAAGCTTGTCTGTATCATCAGACACTGACGGGACAATCTGGGATTCAGCCTCAGACAGCACTGTTTCCTCGTGCTCCCTGATCTTAGAATAAAACTCTGAAGGCTGTTCTTCACCATTGTTACAAAATAATGCGCAACAGGCTAAAACCAGCTTTCCTCTTCTAATCCACGTCTGTGAATTTAGGCCCATTTAAAAGACAGGCAATTTTCATGAACCAATTTAGACTGATCAATGTTAGCCAGTTTTTGTACATTCTCTGCCATAACTTCACTCAGAAATGACTTTTCTCAAAATACTTATTGACCCATCTTCTCCCTGCTCTGTCTCCAAAAGCAAGCCATAGCCTCATTTTGCAGATAACCCCGAGGAAAAGCTGACGTTTCCATGGTGACAGCTCAATATACCTGCTGTCTTCAATAAGATGGAATGCGTGTGAGGTCTGTGAATGATAAGGCCACCAGGTGTCTCCTTCTGTTGAAGAACTCACATTATTGTATATATTTAAACTTTCTTCTTTTGCTCAGAATCCACGTGAGGTTTTGAAATGATAGAACAGACATCTCAACTATAAATCAGACATCTATCTCAACAATGACCACCTGAGGCGCCTACTTGTACTGTAGAACTCATATGGTTAGTTTTAGAGCT